ACTGGCCTGCAAGGAAGGGCAGTTAAGAGGGATCAGGCTTGCAAGGGAGGGCAGTTGGAGGCGATCACCCCTTCAGGGGAGGACAGTTAGGGGTGGCCAGGCTGGCAGAGGAGGGAATTTGGGGGAAAACGGGCTGGCAGGGGAACAGTTAGACATCAATCTGGCAGGCAGGTGAGCAGTTGGGAGCCAGCAGTCCTGGATTGTGAGAGGGATGTCCGACTGCCCGTTTAGGCCAGATCTCACTGGGATCAGGACTAAACGGGCAGTTGGACATCCCTTGTGTGGTCCCAGATTGGAGAAGGTGCAGGCTGGGCTGAGGGACAACCCCCCTGCCCCATGCACAAATTTTGTGCACTGGGCCTCTAGTTTTAAATAATGTTCTTCATCTTCCTAAATTAGTTCATTGGTAGTAAAACTTAAACATGTTGCCAAACTGATTCTTTGTTTTTCTTAATAACATACTTTAGGAAAAAAAAAATTAAAAGAAAAAATTTTTACAAAACAAGTGAATAATTTACATGTACCAAACATATTCTGGAAAAATGGAAGTGAAATCTTGGTATTTACTTACAAGATAATGATATTAGTGATGCAAAATAATGGATGTTCTTAATTTTGTTGGATTATAGATATGTGTTGTTATATTGATATAGATATGTGTTGTTATATTAAAAATTTCTTTTAAGTCAGAGGACATGGTATTTTAAATCTTTAGTCTCATTAGTTACACAATGGGTACAAATGAAGGTCTAGAGCTTGATGAAAATGCAACATTGAGTGGGAGAACATAAAAGATAAGTGGAGAGAACAAAAGAGCATCTAAATAGAACATGATATAGTTGTTTCCACTTGGACTCAGGATATATGTTGCCTATTCTTTTTTTTTTAATGTGGAAAAATTTTTAACATAAAATTTACCATTTATTTATTTTTGTCATTAAGTATAATTACATTGTTGTTTAACCATCACCACTATTTCCAGACATTTTTATTACCCCAAACAGAAACAATAAACTTGTTAAGCAGTTACTCCCAATTTCCCTCTGTTCCCAGGCTCTGGTAAACTCTATTCTACTCTCTCTAATAATTTGTCTCTTCTAGATACCATATGTAAGTGGATTCATACAATATTTGTCCTTTTGTTTCTATCATTCATGGTTCATGCATGCTTTGGCATGTATCAAAACTTCATTTTTGGCCGGAACATATATTTTTGGTTATATACCACATTTGATTAATTTATATGTTGGTAGATAAACCTATTATTCTGGCTATTGAATAACAATGCTGTGAACATTTGTGTATGAGTATGTGTTTGAGACCCACAGGAACTGTTTTCAGTTCTTTTTGGTATATATCTTGGGATGTAATTGTGGGGTCATATGGTAATTGTTAGTTTATTTTTTTAATCTCGAATGTTCAAAAGTAATTCTGTTTGATTTATGAGAAACCACCAATATGTAATACTCTGTTCTTATACATTTACTTAGTAGCCTTGCATTTGAATCTGTGCATCAGTAGCTCTCCAGTAGCTTGATGCTGCCCTCCTGTAGCTCCCCTCACCCCCCTTATAACTTGCTGTCCTGCCCCCTCCTGTAGCTCTCAGCTGCCCCACCCTCCTGCTGATCTATGATCTGGTTGTTTCATGGTTGGCCATTATACTACATGGCGTAACTACCATTTGCATATTATATCTTTATTATATAGGATGCCCCCCTCCCTTTTGTATTCTTGTTTTCATAGATTAAATCTTCGTAAGTTTCATGCTCATCAACAGATTTATAATTATTATTTTATGCATTTAATTTCTAAATTATACAGAAAAAAGTACAGGAGTTATAAACCAAAAGTACAGTAACATTTTTATATTTACCTATGTGGTTACCTTTATAATCACTTTTTTATTTTTCTTTATGTCCTTAATTTATTGTTTAGGGTTCTTTCATTTCTGCTTATAAGACCTCCTTTAGTATTTTTTGCAGGACAGACTTGCTAGCAATAAATTATCTGTTTTCAATTTTATTTTGTTAATTTGGGATTGTCGTAGTTTCTTCTTTATTTTTGAAGGATGGTTATTTTCTGGATATGGAATTCTTGGTTGAAAGTCTTAATTTTTTTATTTTTTATTTTAGCACTTCAAATATGTTGTTCCCCTAACTTTTGGCTCCCATGGAACAAATTAGATATTAATTTTATTGATGATCCCTTGAATGTAACAAGTTATTTCTCTCTTACTGCTTTAAAAATTATTTTTCTTTATTTCTGACCACTTAATTAGAAAGTATCTAGTGTGAACATGTTTGATATTCTGCTTATAGTTGTTGAACTTCTTGGATGTGCACTAGTATATTTAATGTTTCATCAGATTTTGGAATATTTTTTTCTGTCCCTTTCCCTTTTTCCTGGGAATCCTGTGAAGCACATGTTTATATGCTTGATGGTATTCCACCCATCCCTCAGGCTCTGTTTATTTTTCTTTATTCTATTTTCTTTCTCCTCAATCTGGATCTTTTTAATTTCCTTATCTTCAAATCGCTGATCATTTCTTCTGTATGCTCCAGTCTGCTGTTGAATCCCTTAAGTTAATTTTTCATTTCAGTTACTGTATTTGTCACTTCTAGAATTTCTGTTTGATTCCTTTTTATAGTTTCTATGTCTTAATTGATATTCTCATTCCATTCACACATTATTTTTCTGATTTCCTTTAATTATTTGTGCATAGTTTCTTTTAGCTCATTGAGTATATTGAAGTTAAGACAGTTGATGTAATCTTTTTGATTAGTTACTCCAAAATCTGAGTTTCTTCAGGGTGAGTTTCTGTCAAATTATTTTTTCCTAAGCATAGGCAATGCTTTTATGGTTGTTTTTGTTTTGCGTACTTTGTAATTTTTGTTGTTTTTGAAAACTGGCATTTGAGTGTATTACAACACTGAAAATCTGATTTTCTCATTTCTTATAGACAGCTTATTTTTATTTGCTAGGGTCTATAGATATTTGTGACTTTTCTAAACACTTTTTGCAAAGTGTACTTTTCCTTGTGTGTGACCACTGAAGTTTGAGTTTTATTAACACTAATGTCAGCCAGTGATTTGGCAAAGATTTCCATAAATGTCTGGTTCCAAATTGCAGGGGAATTGTTTCTGTCTGTTCAAACCTGATTGATTTCAGTAGTGAAAGCTGGTGCAACCAAGAAGGTAGAAACCAAGGCAAACATTTTCACTGTTCCTTCAGAGAATTGCCAAGCCAACCAAAATGTATAGCCTAAAATTTTAGAGAAAGAGGTCCTCCTGCCTACCCTGGAATCATCCAGCTCCTACAGGAACTATCCACACAGTGATGCTGAGGAATGGAATATGTTGCCTGTTTTGTACATGTCATTCTCTTAACAGAAAACAGCAGTGACTTTCTTCATGAAATATTTACCTTGTTGTAAATATTTAGTTAGGTGCCAGAGTTCTAAAATAGTTTATATTTCTAGCACAGTGGTGGCTTTGCTGAAGGAGTAATCCCTGGAACTTCCTTCTCTGCTAATCTGTGTCAATCCCTACATTCTTAAGTCTTTGTTTCTTGCTTTTTTCCTTTTCATATGTCTTTTGAAATCCCATTCAAGTTCCCAATAGGTTGGTTGCAGGCTAATGCAGTAATAATTAGAATTGTACCAAAGTCCAAAATAAACCAGGTTGATATGCATTAATCAATTTTGATTATTTTGTGAGTCAGACATTAGCATACATCAGATTTCATCACTTTTGATTAAGTCTTCATTAAAGTGAAATGCATTGTGTATTTAAATACAGACATTATGAACAATGGGAGATTACTTTTATAGGTTTAGTGTGAGTTTATAAGATTGAAAATGATTCCAAATTTTTCCAATTATTAAGAGTGTAGCTGGTTATTATTTATTGTTGCACATGATTTAATGTCTTCATGGTATTTTTGTTAATTATCATGCCAGAAAATAAAGTTTAAAATTCATTTTATAGCCCTGGCTAGTTTGGCGACTGAAGGGTCCTGGGTTTGATTCCAGTCAAGGGCATGTACCTAGGTTGTGGGCTCAATCCCCAGTGGGGGGCATGCAGGAGGCAGCCAATCAATGATTCTCTCTCATCATTGATATGTCTATCTCTCTCTCCTTTTTTTCTTCCTTTCTGAAATGAATAAAAATATTTTTTAAAACCATGTTATATATTTAAGACCCAAAATGTTGGCCAATTTAAAGCTATGTGATGTCATTTATTGTTATATGATCTATTTATTAAACTTTTATTTTTAGTGCATAGTAACTATATACAGCCGTATTTTCTGGCCTATAAGACGACTTTTGAAACAAAAAAAAAGCCAACCGAAAATCGGGGGGGGGCAAAAGACCAAAATTGCACAAAAATTATCTGCAGATCTTGATGGCAAAGTAAGTCTTTTCTTTGAAGTGGGGGGTAGTCTTATACAGCGAATATAGGCCTAAACCTATGTTTTAACTGTAAAATTAAGGGTTGTCTTATACGCCAGAAATATGGTATATATTCACATTAAATTGTAGTTCATTTTTTAAAATTTTTAGGAAGAGCAGTAGAAATTGGTACTATAACAGAACCACAATCAGAAATGTATCTACTGTTCTATTTTATCACTTTTTTTAAATTGATTATGGTCTCACATAATTGTCCTTATTCCCCCATTCCCATCCCAAACCCCTCCCTAGATATGCCCGCCCCCCAACCCCTGTTGTCAATGGCCACTGGCTAGGCCCATATGTATGCACACAAGTCCTTTGGTTGATCTCGTCCCCTTACCCCCATCCTCCCTTACTTTCCCTCTGAGGTTTGAGAGTCTGATTGCTGTTTCTCTTTCTCTGGGTCTGTTTATGTTGTTCATTATTTTCTCTAAATGTGTGAGATCATGTGATCCAAGAAATACCCTTGTAAGAACCTAAAGTGCAACAAGCCATAATGGTTATGATAATTCTAATAAAATACTAAATATTTATACTTTTTTTTTAGAACCTCGTTAAATATCTTCCAGAGCAGAAGGTTCTCAATGAATTAGCGCAGCTGAAGAATGAGTATGATGACCTTTGTGAACCTGAACAATTTGGAGCTGTGGTATGTACCTAGCACAAGGATCCACAAACTCAACTTGAAGGTAGCACTTAACAGAAAGAGTGTAAAGGAAGACATACCAGTTGTGTACTTTTGTTTTACTATATAGCTACATAAATAATATAATATTGGCTATCAGGCAAAAAACAATAACAACAACAAAAGAAAAACAACCCTCCTTGTTTGTTATCATTTGTCATGGCATTGAAAAATAAAGAAATTAATATCTATTTCCTTTAAACATTTAATTACTTTAATTGTTTTTAGAGAGAAGGAGGAAGAGAATGAGAGAGAGAAATGTAGATGTGATAGAAAAACAACAGATCATTTGCCTCCTATAAAGAACCCAAGCAACCCAACCAGGGATGTGCCCTGAACGGGAATCAAACTTGCAAACTTTTTGTGTATGGGATAATGCTCCAACCAACTGAGTCACACTGGACAGGAATTAATATTTATACCTTATAAAATATTTCAAAATATCTCATTGGAACAACTCCATACTAGTCCTGCTATTTAATTAGTGTATTAAAAATAATATATGTATAATTCTATTGGATATTTTTTTCTATTTAGATCTTAATGATAGAATTTTGAACCCCACCCCCTAAATTTAGGCTAATAAAAAGGGTACTAATTACATAATTAACAATATTCTGGATTTTTTTGTGGTATATATTATGTCAGAAAAAGCACGAGAATTTTTAGATTTCCTATGGAGTGTCATTAATTGACTAAAGGTTTTAAATACACTGTTTGGAGTGGAAAAAGGATCTCATAAATACACATCATGCTTTAGTGAGGTTAAATCACTATTTCAATGTATTATGTTCACTTATCCCTTCTTTTTTTAAGGGGTACAAGAGATGGGTAGGTATACATCATGCATTAAAGAATAAATACAGTTATATGTTTTCAGTACTGCCCAAATATGCTATTCAAATAATTGCCACCAAAAAAAGGTAGGAAACAGGGCATAATGATGTATTTAATTTCTCAGAGGAAGAGCTGTTTTTTATTTAGATGCACAATACAAGTTTGTTGGCTATAGGATTAAGCAGTTCTAGTATAGCTGCCAGCTTTCTCTGGCTCCCTGAACAGTTTCCATCTGCCTGCAAAGACTTCAAATTACCATCAGACCTAATAGTCCAACACAATGTCAGCTTCATCCAAAATATTTTACAACCCTTTTAATAGTAATATATCTGAATTTATCCGATTTGGTACTTTGCAATTTAAAAGTCCTGTTTAAAGTCTCAATGTGATAGGTGGGACAGAGAATGTTCCTTTTGAACATGTGAATTAACTGCTTGCCCTTATTTAGAGTTTATTAATTCTCAGATATGGAATTGCATACACTGATCTAGGAGAATTCTTTCAAAGCCTTGAAAAGCAAATAAGGACTGTATGTTTGGGATGGGCTAGAACATGTAAATGTGCCTGAGGAAGAGATTTCTCCCATTTTTGATTTAGGTAAACAAATCTGAACTGGCTAAATATTATTTATTAAATAGCAGCAATTTAGTAGAGTATTAAATACTAAAGTTTTCTAGACCAATGTTCAAACTTAAAACCTAAGCTGCTTGAATTCTTTCTGTAATTGAAGCGAGGCTGTGTACCATCTGAGAATTCAGCTGTGTCAATGATGATGAGTTTTACAGTAGGTACACTACACAATTTCTCTGAAGCCATTTTTTTTTAATGTAGTTTATCTTGGAAGATGTATTAGTTTGCCAAGCAAGTCCTTCAAGAGGAATATCCTTGGTACCACAATGCTAAAATGAAGTTTGGGGACATAAAAAGCAATATACCTTCTGAACTTAAAGCAAAATAGAAAATGGAAGAGATTTTTTTGTTTATGCACCTAACCACAAATAATCATCGTGCTCTGTACACGAAGTCACCTAGTCTTCTTATTCACTCTCCCCATGCATAGCTACATGTCTGGAGGGAAAAACATCAAGGACACTAGAAAGTAGTTTTTGTTATGGGGATTTTCTAAGGCAGTATCAATCAGTATTTGCCAAATAAAGTCTAGATCATCTATATACTAGTATATAAAAAGCCAGCAACTATAACACCTTAATGACCATTGGGGCCAGTGAACTGGCCCAATCCAGGGGGTGATAGATGGGACAGAGAATCTTCCTTTTGAACATTCTTTGTCCTGAGGCCCCGCCCCCCCAGCTGGCCCCGCCCCTAATGGGCCTCTTCCACCCCAATCGAGGGCTGGGTGCCAGCTAACCCCTGTGGCCCTTTGGCCCTACCCCTGGCCAGCCCACCCCTAATCTACCTATGCAACCCTGATAGGCCTGTAGCCCCTCCCCCAGGTTGGCTCCACCCCTGATCACACACACCACCACCACCCCCACACACACACACCCCGCACCCCAGTGGGGAGGGTGGCTGGCCAACCTCCTGCAGCAGCTCTCGCAGCTGGTCCCACCTCCAATGAGCTCCACCACCCTGGTCATCCCACAGCCCTTCCCCCTGGCCTGCCCTGCCCCCAATGGGGGTAGGGCTTGCCAGCAAACCTCCTGTAGCCCCTCCTCATGCCCAGCCCCACTTCAGATTCCACCCCGACCCCCCCATCAGGGGCAGGACTGGCAGTCCAACTGCCTGAGGCCCCTCCCCCTGACCGGCCCTACCTCCAATGGACCCCCACCAACCTGATCGGCCTGCATCACCTGCCCCCAGCCATCTACACCCCTGATCGCTCCCTCTCCAACCACCAATCAGGGGTGGGGCTGGCCAGCCAACCTCCCATGGCCCTTCCCCTGGCCACTGACCTCTGATCAGTCCCCCACCCCATTTGGGGGTGGAGCCAGTTAACCCACCTCCCCCAGCCCCTACACATGGCCTGCCCCACCCCTAATCTTCCCCCCATCCCCCATGGTTGGGGCCACCAGCCAATCGCCCTCAGATTGACCCCCCACAGCCACTCCAGCCCTGATCTGGTCCAGATGGGGGCAGGCCAGCCAGCCATCCTCCCACCTTCTCCTCCTACTGACAGGCCAGCCCACATCTGCGCCAATTGGGGCTGGGCTGTGCAGATCACACCCATGCATGAATCTGTGCACTGGGCCTCTAGTCTTATATATTGGAAAAGGAATTTGAAATAATATGCCTTAGTCTTTTAAGCATGCATGCTTGGCACTGATCCAAGGACAAATCTTATATACAATAGACAGCTGATAAATGTTTATTAAATTGAATTATAGGATAATTATTAAACTCAAGTGAAATCCTGAGATTGAAAATAGCATATTTTAAAAGATCTATAAAAATGAAAATTATGCTAAAACATATTTCTCCTGGTCTGTGCCAAAATTCAATTAATTTGTGTGTGGATATACCCAAATACTCTTTAACCATCCAGTTTTATTGACAACCTACATTTAGGACAACTTTTAAAATGTGTATAATCATCTGCACAACTTGGAAAGGCTCCAAGCTGGTTGTCTTGCCTTTGATCTCTTCCCCCATCAAAGTGATTAGTGTAATCTTATTAAAATTTCTAGTCATTTTAAGACATCTGTATCAAAAACCTTCAGAGTCCCCCAGAATTTACAGAATAAAACCCACACTCCTTAGCATTCTCATCCCACCTCTTACTCTCTGGTTTTATATCTCCCTGTTCTCTTTGGTGCATTCAGTGAATTGGTGTCTTTATGACATTTTAGCTTTTACCTCACCAGGGCTCTCATTGCCATTTCAGCAGTTATTTTACTTGTTTCTATTCAGTGATCTTTCATTTTTTTATAGCAGCTCTATCATTTCTTACCTGCCCTCCTCAATTCTTCTCCCTCCCCTCTTTGTTCTTTTCACTGACTACAAGCAACCTAATCTCTTCCATGCACTAGGACATCAGAGCCTCCAGTATCTCTTCTTTCTACAATGTTATCTCTACATGTGATGTCTTTTATTGACTTACTAGAGGCACAGTGGATGAAATTTGCACACGGGTAGCATCCCTGAAGCTGCCATCTGCTGGCTGGGGCCTCCCTTACCCAGCTGTTGGCTGCCAGCCAGGGCCTTCCTTCATTCCGAGGCAGCCCCTGGTGGTCACCACATGTTGAGCCATTGAACTCCTGGTCAGTCAAACTCCTGAGCAAATATATATATATACACACACATACACATACACATACACATACACATACACATACACATACACATACATACAAACACACTAGAGGCCCAGTGCACAGAATTAGTGCACAGTTGGGGGTGTTCCTGAGCAGAGCTTGCACTCTCTCCAACCTGGGACCCCTTGAGGGATGTCCGACTGCCTGTTTAGGCCTGATTACGGTAGATTGGGCCTAAATGGGCAGTCAGACAGCCCTCTCACAATTCAGGTCTGTTGGCTTCCAACTACTCACCTGCTTGCCTTCCTGATTGCCCTTAACTGCTTCTGCCTGCCAGTCTGATCGACCCCTAACCACTCCCCTGCCAGCCTGATTGATGCCTAACAATCCTCCCCTGCAGGCCTGGTCACCCCTACCTGCCCTCCCCTGCAGGCCTGATCCCTCCCAACTGCCATCTCCTTATGGCCATCTTGTGGCAGCCATCACATGGGGGCAGCCATTTTGTGTGTTGGAGTGATGGTCAATTTGCATATTACTCTTTTACTAGATAGGATAGAGGCCTGGTGCACAAGTGGGGGCCCGCTGGTTTGCCCTGAAGAGTGTCCTGGATCAGGGTGGGGTTTCCTTGGTGCATGGAGTGGCCTGGGCAAGGGGCCTGTGGTGGTTTTCAGGCTGGCCATGCCACCCCAGTAACCCAAGCAGAGGCCCTGGTATCTGGGATTTATTTATTTTCTATAATTGAAACTTTGTAACCTTCAGTGGAGGCCTGGGCTGGCCAGTGTGTGCAGGAATCTTGGCTTCCTCCATCACTGGGGAAACCCAAGCCTCCTGATTGCTCTGTGGCTGCAGCCATCTTAGTTGGGTTAATTTGTATACTTGCCCCTAATTGGTTGGTGGGCATGGCTTTTGGATATA